CATGTGTGCGTGCGTGTGTGCGTGTGTGTGTGTGTGTGTGTGTGTGCATGCGTGCGTATGTGCGCACACATGGGTTTAGAAATGGCCTCACAGGTAGGTTCTATCAGCAAACACAATGGGCCACCTCTTTCCTTGGAGGGTATGAAGGCCCGACTGGAAACACACAGCCGTGCGCCCACAGCAGCCTATGAGAGCATCTCTTCCAGTGTCTCTTCCTGCCCTGCCTCCCCACTTTCCCCTGCTGAGTTCCTCACTGACACAGGTCATTGCTTCTCCAGCTCCTGCTCACAGGCCACCCAAGGCTTCAAATGAACTGGGCCTGGCCATGGGGAAAGGGGAGGGTCCTTAGCTGAACTTCCTGCCTTTCGTCTTCCTGATTGATTGGCTCTGGCTCCTTCCCCTTGGAACTAGGCCCTTCCCCCAGGAAGCCCATGGGGCTCTGACCCTCTGCAGCTCACAGGCTAATAAAGATAATAAATCAGGCCTTGCTTTTCTTCTTTTTTTTTCCCCCTTTTTGAGTCACCCACGGTGATGCACAGGGGTTACTCCTGGCTCATGCACTCAGGAATTACTCCTGGCGGTGCTCGGGGGGACCATATGGGATGCTGGGAATTGAACCCAGGTCAGTCGTGTGCAAGGCAAATGCCCTACCCACTGTACTATTGCTCCAGTCCCAGGCCTTGCTTTTCTTTAAGGGTTTTCAGTTCCCAATGCCACCGCCACATGCTTTCCTGTGAGTTCTTCTAAGGTAGGCAGGGCACGAGACCCCCTAGGCCCCAAGGTCAGAACTCCCTTGCCCAAGGTCACAGTGAGGAAAAGAGCTGGAACCCAGGCCTTCTGACCCAGGAGTGGGCTTTGTGGACCAAAGGGACCAAAGCCCCTACTTTACCTTCCCGCATTTCTGGGACTCCTGTGTTTCGAGGGACAAAATCAGGAGAGAGTCAGTCGCTATGTGGTCTCATCCTCAAAGTCCAGGATGCCAGGATGCCTGGTGGTCTCCAGGCAGGTAAGCTGCATCCAGAAGCCTTTCCAAAGGTTTGGGTCAAAGCTGTGTCTGTTTAGACTCAGGATCCTTTTTTTTTTTTCTTTTTGGGTCACACCTGGGCTGGAGTGATAGCACAGCGGTAGGGCATTTGCCTTGCACGCAGCCAACATGGCCGACCCAAGTTCGATTCCTCTGCCCCTCTCGGAGAGCCCGGCAAGCTACCGAGAGTATCTCGCCCGCACGGCAGAGCCTGGCAAGCTTCCCGTGATGTATTCGATATGCCAAACACAGTAACAACAAAGTCTCCATTGGAGACGTTACTGGGCCTACTCGAGCAAATCGATGAACAACGGGAGGACAGTGATACTGGGTCACACCTGGCGATGCACAGGAGCACAGGGGTTACTCCTGGCTCTGCATTCAGGAGTCACTTCTGGCGGTGCTCAGGAGACCATATGGGATGCTGGGAATCGAACCCGGGTCAGCCGCGTGCAAGGCAAATGCCCTACCCGCTGTGCTATCTCTCCAGCCCCATGGACTCAAGATCCTTGATGGTCTCCCCTGTCCCCTCCTTGGCCCCTCCCCCGCCCCCCCCCCCCCCGTTTCCCAATTCAAAGCTCCTTGCACTGAATTCTGTCTCATTGCTGAGCTCTTAGAAGAGGCATCGTTGAGAGATAAACAACGCCACCCCCACCCCCCATTTCTTTCCTAGCTGTTGCAAAATTGTTCACCCTGTGCGAGTGTTAAAAAAAAATCGGATGTATGAATTTAATGAGAAGAACCTCCGAGCAAAGTTAATACAACCCTTTATAATGATCCTATGGCAGTAATACCCTCTGTGGTTATTAGGAATAAGTGGTAAACAGCTTCTATGAACGACTGTAATTAGGATTGCTTTCACAGCCAAAGCAATTTTTTTCCCCCAAGTTTCTCTCCTCTCACTTTATTAGTTCCGCAGTACTTAACTACTTGGAATCGCTGTGCAAAGTTTGCCTCGGTAGCTTATGCTGGCGAGAGTCTGGGCTTCTTCATGTGGAGGAAGAGACTCCCAGAAATTGGCGAAGCAGATGCGGCTCTTGCTGCCTGGCGAGTCAGGAAACGTCGGGAAGGTCAAGTAGGGGCTTTGGTCCCTTTGGAAACGTCTTCAGTTCTGTCCCTGGGATTCTGCCCAGAGCCAGGCCCGGTCCCTCCTTTTTCCCGCTCACTTCCTGTCCCTGTGGATGGTGAACTAGGAACAGTAACGGAAGTGAGTGACAAATAGCAGGTCTGGGGCTTGCCATGCACATGGCTGACCTGGGTTTGATTCCTGGTACCACATCACAATCACAATCACAACCATCCTGTTATTCGTCGATTGCCTCGAGCAGGCCCCAGTAATGTCTCTTCGTCCTAGCCCTGAGTTGTTTTTTTTTTTAAACTGCCATATTCAAGGCTCTTTCAGTTAGGAGAATGAGACCCTTCATTGTTACTGGTATTTGGCATATTGGGTACACCATGGGGAGTTTGCCAGACTCTGCCAGTCTGGTCACGGAGAGTTTGCCAGACTCTGCCATGTGGGCAGGTTACATTCGGTAGCCTGCCAGTTTGTCTAAAGTAGGAATGAGATGATAAGATGTCGCGCAGCCGCAAATGCGGCCACACGCTTCCAGGAGCTGGGTTTTATAGTCTCTGAATCTTGGCCCTTGATGGGATTACACGGCGCCAGGGGGCCAGTTGGTCGGTGTGATCCCCGCCTACTGGAATTTGAAGGATCTGGGTGGAGGATGCTCAGCCCCAATCTGAGTAGGCTTGGAGATCTCAGCCTCGGGACCCGCATGCCTTTGTTCCTCTGCCGGTACCTTCATGTGTGCGTAGAGTGGTCTCAGCATGGTGGTGGCTGGTCCTGGAGGTCTTCGGCTGCCGGAGCCCTGGTCGGGGCGGGGAGGAAAGCTCAACCCGCTCCCCTCCAAGGGGCCCCGGCGAGGACAGCCAGGTGCGGGGGCAGGACTCTGGTAACGCATATGGTCCTCTAAACACTGCCAGGAGTAGGTCCGAGCAAACCCCAAACCCCCCCCAGAAAGAAAGAACAAGAAGAAATCTCTGCCATTTAGAAGAACCAAGCTCTCGTTCTCCCCCTCACTGTCTCTCTCCTCCTCTCTCTCTCTCTCTCTCTCTCTCTCTCTCTCTCTCTCTCTCTCTCTCTCTCTCTCTCTCTCTCTCCCCCCTCCCTCCCTCTCCTGACTCTGCACTCAGGGATCACTTTTGGCAGGCCTTGGGCAACCCTATATGGTACCGGAGGTTGGAACCTAGGTGGGCCGTGTGCACAGCAAACACCTCCCCCTACCTGCTCCCTCTACTACTGCTCCAGCTGAACTGTTCTCTCCTGTAGAAGGAAGGGCAAGAGTGACATCAGGGACACTAAAAGCCTCAAGAAACGGCCTCAGCCAGTGTGGGGGAGTGATGTCGCCTTCTCTCAGCCCAAACTGGAGGCATTGGTGGGGGTCTCCAGTTTGGGGGCTGCAGCCAGGAGAGAGAACTCTGCGTCAGGGCCCTGATAAGTGTGACTGCCCTGACCTGGCTCTCAGCACAGTTCTCCCACAGGGGCAGTTTGGTGGTTCCCATAGAGAACTTTGCGAGGGTCCCTTGGGCTAGGCTCTGTTCGTGCCAGTGGGCATGAGTGGTACCCGTAGGTGGCAGGGGAGGCAGTGCCGTGTGGGGACCTCAGGGTAGGGTTGGCGCCCCCACTGTTGGGCTCTCCTGGCGAGCGGGCGGAAGGGGAGAATGACCAGCATGGGCACTGACGGCCTTGTGTGGGGCCCGATGGGAGGGTGACCAGGCTATGACTTGTCACTCCATCAACTACCAGGATTGATTCGGCTGATCTGGCTGGACAGGGGAGAGCGTCCCCTTTCTCCCTCAGCACTCCCAGTGCAAGTCTCCTGAAGCTGCACGCTCGCTCGGTTAAAAAGTTTGGAGGACAACCTGGATGCAGGGTTCTTCGGTCAAGGGTATAAGAGGAGCTTTGCTCCCTGCTAGGACCTCCAAACCAGCTCTCAGGAGTGAGCCAGAGCCACGTTCTCAGCCTGAACCTCTGAACTGGAAGATACCCCCCCCCACACACACACACACAGAGTCTCAGGAGAACAAGCACATAGGCCTGGAGGAAAAAGATAAAAGATGCAAACCTTTGGGGCTGGAGACATCGTGCAGAGGCTCACTCAGCAGCTGACCCACTTCCGAATCCCAGATAGGGTTCCCCTGAGCCCTGCCAGGAGTGATCCCTGAGCACAGAGTAGGGAGCAAGCCCTGAGCACCACTGGGTGTGACCCCCAATGTGAAAACAAGCAAATAAGAACACCCAACGCCCTGGGTCTGGGAGGGCTTGGGGTTGGTCACCTCCAGGCTGTGTGTAACGGGAGCTACCCGGTCCACTGGTCTGACCTGAGGGGTGCAGGTATAGGTGGTCATGTTCCTGGAGAGAAGGAGGGGAGGGCATGGCTCGGACCCTCAGTGGGCAGCTCTGAGCCATGGGAACAGGTGTGGCCTCTCCCTTTTGGGGATCAGGTGGGGGATGCTCACGGGAGCTGCTCTGAGAATCAGGGACTGAAGCCCCCCTTTTCAGAAGCCCTCTCTGGTTGTGGGGGTCAGGAGCACTGAGGTGGGTGGGTGGGCAGAGAGAGCCCATCTGAAGGGGAGTGTCAGGCATCTGGACGCAGTGGCCGTCTGTGCTGGAGAGCCAGCAGACCCCGGGGCTGGGTCCTGCAGAGGCCTGGGGGTGAGGTGTACTTGGAGGGGGCCGGGCTGCAGGGGGAGACAGGGGCGGGGGCAGGGGGAGCGGAGGCGGGGGTCAGGGGGAACTGGGAGGAGAGGCCCTCTGGCACCTCCCAGGGACCAGAACAGGGGCCCTCGGGTCCTGCTGCCTTGGCTGATCTGGCCTTGGCAACCCCCCCCCCCCCCCGCCCCGCCAACACACACACATCCTGCCTCTGCCCCAGGACACAGGTCTCTGACCCTCCCCTTTCTGCTGCCTCTGCAGGAAAATCGCTGCTTACGATGAGGAAATCCTGCATCTCTACGAGGAGATGGAACAGCAAATCAAAAGCGAGAAGGAGCAGTTTCTCCTAAAAGTAAGCGTCAGCCCCGGGCTCGGTACTCGGGGCCGGGATGGAGCATGACCCTGGACCCCAGCCCCGGAAGATCAGCGTCTCTGCCCCTGGTACCCTCGGTACCCTCCCTGCTGTCTCTCTGCCTCTGTCTCTGTCATCTCTGTCTTGTCTCTGTCTCTCTCTATCTGTCTCTGCCTCTGTCATCTGTCTCTGTCATCTCTGTCTCTATCTCTCTCTGTCTCTCTCTGTCTCTCTGTCTCTCTCTGTCTCTGTCTCTCTCTGTCTCTGTCTCTCTCTTGTCTCTCTCTGTCTCTCTTTGTCTCTCTGTATCTCTCTCTGTCTCTCTCTCTGTCTCTCTCTGTCTCTCTATCTCTATCTCTCTCTGCCTCTGTCTCTGTTATCTCTGTCTTGTCTCTGTCTCTCTCTATCTGTCTCTGCCTCTGTCATCTGTCTCTGTCTCTGTCATCTCTGTCTCTTTCTCTGCCTGTCTCTGTCTCTGTCTCTGTCTCTCTCTGCCTCTCTGTCTGTCTCTGTCTGTCTCTGTCATCTCTGTCTCTTTCTGTCTGTCTCTGTCTCTGTCTCTCTCAGTCTCTGCCTGTCTCTGTCTGTCTCTGTCTCTCTCTCTGTCTCTCTGTATCGCTCTGTCTCTCTCTAGTCTCTGTCTCTCTCTAGTCTCTCTCTGTCTCTCTCTGTCTCTGTCTGTCTGTCTCCTGTCTCTCTTTCTCTCCCTTCGTTCCTTTCTTTCTGCATGTTCCTTACTTCCGTCCTGGCTTATGGTTGGCTTATTTATCTCTGTGGACTGTAGTCTGTCTCCGCCCGCCCGCAGGTAAATGCCATGGGAACGGAGATCTGGGTCTCCGGCGAGCGTCTCCGTGTCGTCTCCACTCTGCCTGGCCCAGAGTAGATGCTTGGCAGATATCTGTGGAGTGAGTGAGTGAGTGAACGTATGAATGAATGAGTCAGGCAGCTGTTGCAGCTCCCTGGCCGGTGTGGCCGGCCCTTCCACAACACACCCCACTTCTTCCCCCAGAAGTCCACCTACGGAAGCCATCCTTCCGTCTCTGCGCCCCATCCTTTCCCCTCGGGTGCTTAGAACATTTTGGTTCATTTCGCTTTCGTTTGTGGGCTGCACCCAACAGTGCTCAGGGCTTACTCCTGGCTCTGCCCTCAGGGACCACTCATGGCAGGGCTCGAGTGGTCAAGGATCCACTCATGGATCCTTGGGGGCTTCCAGGGATTGAACCTTGATCCTTGAGGGTGCCAGGTCAGCCACGTGCAGAGCCAGCATCCCTCCCACTGTACTATCTCCCTGTCCCCTGATGCCCGGGACTTGTTAGACCCAAGATAAGCCCAAACTCTGCTTGGGTTTATTAGAAAATTGGGAGAAAGAACTCTATTCTGAAGGACGTGGGGACCTTTACACAAGAGGGTGACCCAGACAACTTGCTTTACTTCCAACCTGGCAGGGGACAAAGACACATGGGCATCAGCATCTCCAAAGGAGCGCCCCCCCCCCATCTCTATTTGGGCAAGGTCCTCTTCAGCCCAGTCCTGGGGAGTGGTGAGGGAGGAAGGGGCCTTTCTACCCCTGCCCCTCCCCTGGCACTACCTCAGCCTCCTCTCCGTCTGTCTGGGGAGGTCAGAATGGGGGAGATGCTCTTCTGGGTCCAGCCCCGCCCGTTTCTTGGGAGCCATATTCAGAATATCAGACACCTGGCACAGCCATCCGCTTTCCACTTCTCCACTTGCCAAGTTGTCAGCGGGAAAGCAATTTGGACCGCTGATCTCTCCTCTTGGGTATTTGGGGCAGGGATGACAAGGTAACAAACCTTGGCTCCTTGGGGCTGGAGAGATGGAACCGTGGGTAAAGCACTTGCCTTGCGCACAGATGACCCTGTTTCTATCCTCAGCACTGCATGTGGTCCCTCAGTCTCCACCCAGAGTGATCCCTAAACATAGAGACAAGAACTGTGGCCCGAGGAAGCCTTTGCTGTTGTCCCCCTGTGTCCTGCAAAAAAACAGGATGCCCAAACTTTCATTTCTCACAGTTCTGTAGATGAGACATGTAGGATAAGGGTCACGGGCCCCCAGGTTGGGGGGGGGCCTCCTTTGGCTGTGATGATGCCCATGTGTCGTTGTCCCCTGCCAGGGTGGAAGTAAACCAAGTTGTCTGGGTCACCCTCTTGTGTAAAGGTCCCCACGTCCTTCATAAGGTGTCATCACCTCAAAGCTCACCCCACGAGTCTATCCCTTGGGGATAGGGTCAGCGTTGGATACGAGAGGGCATGAACTTGAGCCTAGAGCTTGAGGTGTGGAGGTGACCGTCTCCTGGTCTCCTGTCCTCACAGCTGCTGTCCCCTCTGAACAGACACCGAGGGGGGTTGTGGAGAAAAGGATGGGTGGGGAGTGGGGAGGAGTCCCACCGACTTGCAGGTGGCAGAACTTCGCCTGGGGCTGCAGGCCTGGGGCACACTTCATCTTTTTTTTTGATGGGGGGGGTCACACCCGGCAATGCTCAGGGGTTCCTGCTGGCCCCGCACTCAGGAATCACTCCTGGCGGTGCTCGGGGGACCCTATGGGATGCTGGGAATCGAACCCGGGTCAGCCACGTGCCAGGCAAAAATTCTACCCACTGTGCTATGGCTCCAGCCCCGGCAACAATCCATCTTAGGCTCAGGCTTTGAGAACGGGGAAACTGAGGATCCGCCATCCTGGTGCTTCGACTCAGCACCCTCCCTCTGTCCAAGGACACACTCAGGCTGAGTGTCAAGGTCGCATCGGGAAAGGCTGGGAGAGTCCCCAACCCTTCATCCTCCTCGGGTTGAATTCTAGGCGGGTTTTTCCTGCATTTGCTTGTTCAACGTTAGTCACTGTGACCGATGGTGTGGTGAAGGGTAGGGGTGAAGGATGTGGCTCCAGGCCCCCGCTCCCCCCAAAACCCACCTCCCCCTAGGCTCCGCTGTTTCCCTCCATCACCCCCGGCTCCACCCATCATCACCGACGCCATCAAAGCTGAGGGAGTCCAGTGCTTGCGCACGTTCATGCTGTTCGTTTTGCTTGGGTAGAACTTTTGCCTGGCACATGGCTGACCCGGGTTCGATTCCCAGACATGTTCGGCGCTCACTCCTGACTCTGTGCTCAGGGATCACTCCTGGCGAGTCTCGGAGACCGAAATGAGATGCCGGGTTGGTCACGCCCAAGGCAGGTGTCTTCCCCGCTGTGCGATCTCTCCGCCCCTCAGCACCCCCCCCCCAGTGCTTTGGGAATAAAACTGGGTCTTGGTTTGTCCCAGTCTCTGGGTCCCTGCCCCCCACCCCAGCCCATTCTGCTCCGAGCTTGGGGCTTTTCTGGGTAGCCTTGACTTTCCATGAGCAAGTGGGCCAGCATCCACATCGGTGACGGTCCTCTCTCTCCCCCAGGACACTGCACAGAGGGGCAAGCTCTGGGCCTTTGCCACGATGATGGGGCAGAGGTTGTGGTGAAGGAAGGAGGAAGTCAGGGACAGGGGGTGAGTCTGGCTGGGGGTGGAGACAAGGTGAGTTTGCTGGAAGGACTTGGGCGGACCAGCTGGTATCACGGAAGGTGACCTGCGGTACCCCCCCCCCCCCCCGGGTTCTTTCCATTCCCTGCTTCTCCGCTCTGCATCCCCGGCTTCAGGCATGGGCCTGGGTAAACCGTTTGCAAAAACAAGGAAGACTAGCACAGCGGGTAGGGAATTTGCCTTGCACATGGTCTACCTGGGTTCGATTCCCAGCATCCCATAGGGTCCCCTGAACACCGCCAGGAGTAATTCCCGAGTGCATGAGCCAGGAGGAACCCCTGTGCATCGCCAAGTGTGACCCAAAAAGAAAATAAGAAAAAGAAAAAAAAAAGACCAATGAAGCTGCTCTTGAGCCCTTGGGTACACAAGCTTTGGCCTAGCCCCAGTGTGAGCAAAGTGGAGGGGTGGGGGGAGTTTCTGACGGAGGAGGGGGCAGGGGCAGTCACCTGGTCCCTCAGGGTCAGGCTTCGCCCCTTGCATGCTCGGTTGCAGCCTTGCAGACCGTCTCAGGCACGTTTGCGCCTGGGAATTCTGCAGCTGCGTTCAGCCCTTGCCGCCGTGCTGTCTGGGGGCGCCTGCCCCAGGCTCGGCAGCCCAGTGGGGGGAGGGGGTACTCGGGAAGCCCAGGCGGGAGCTGGAGAAGCCAGTTCCCGCTGGCCTGAATGGTAGCAGGAGGCTGAGATAAGGTCAGCTGCTGGGTGGTCCTAAGTGCTGCCTCGCCACCCAAGGTGGCCAAGGCACCAGCATAGAGGCCCCTCGACCTTGGGAGGGAGGTTCCATGGCTCTAGCCCGAGCCTGGGGCCTGACATTTCTGCTGGGCCTCCATACCCAGGCCAAGCTGCCCCTTTATTCTGTTTTGGCTTGGGGGGAGATCCCCAGCAGTGCCCAGGGGGCTATTCCCGGGGGTGCTCGGGGAGGGGTGGGGTGCAGGGGATCAAACCCAGGGCTCCTGGGGCTGGAGCGATAGCACAGCGGGTAGGGTGCTATCGCTCTGGCCGGCCCGGGTTCAATTCCCAGCATCCCATAGGGTCCCCCGAGCACCGCCAGGAGTCATTCCTGAGTGCAGAGCCAGGAGGAACCCCTGTGCATCACCAGGTGTGACCCAAAAAGCAAACAACAACAACAACGACGACAACAACAAACCCAGGGCTCCTGCATGCAAAGCTCCAGTCTTCGAGCATCACCCTGGCCCCCCAGGAGTGCAGTTCCCCAGAGCTGACTTCCCTGGGAAGGGAATCCCAAGCCCCTCTCCTTCCTGCCGGACACCGCTATCCTTCATCAGGGAACCCGTGCTGGAGGAGTCGGACACCCCTGCTTCTCTCCCATGGGCTCAGTGCTCACGAGAACCATTTTCTCACCTTCTTCCCCCATAGCCCCCTCCAGACCCACTCCCTTCTCCCTTCTTCTGTGCCTCTGTCTTACTGGTTGGCACCTTAGGCCAATGCTGTGACCCTGTCCCCCTGTGGACTCGATTTCCACTGTCACTGTCACTGTCCTCCCGTTGTTCATCGATTTGCTCGAGCGGGCCCAGTAACGTCTCCATTGGAGACTTTGTTGTTACTGTGTTTGGCATATCGAATATGTCACGGGGAGCTTGCCAGGCTCTGCCATGAGGGCGAGATACTCTCAGTAGCTTGCCGGGCTCTCCGAGAGGGGCGGAGGAATCGAACTCGGGTCGATCATGTTGGCTGTGTGCAAGGCAAACGCCCTACCGCTGTGCTATCGCTCCAGCCCCGATTTCCACAGTGGCTTCTTTTTTTTTTTTTTGGCGAGGGTGAGGGGTCACACCCGGTGATGCTCAGGGGTTCCTCCTGGCTCTGCACTCAGGAATTACCCCTGGCGGTGCTCGGGGGACCCTATGGGATGCTGGGAATCGAACCCAGGTCGGCTGCGCACAAGGCAAATGCCCTCCCTGCTGTGCTATTGCTCCAGCTCCTCACAGTGGCTTCTTTGGGAATACCCAGGGGGTCCACAGAGGAGCCCTATGCCGCCCCCCAACCCCATTGAGAAATGATGCTAGGAAGGAAGGAAGGAAGGAAGGAAGGAAGGAAGGAAGGAAGGAAGCCAGGTCAGCAGAGCCAGGCTTTCCCTACACCCACCTGGGCGGTCCTGGACCTCAATCATGAGCGTGTTGGCCTCCCCCTGCCCCTCCCCACCTCCCCTCTGCCCTACCACATCTCCCTCACCCCTGCACTGCCAGGCGCTGGGTGTCCCTGAGTGGGGAAGCCACTGAGCCGAGGGACGGGAGATGCAGGGGACATCACAAAAAGGGATGTGGGGACCTTGCTTCCTGGGAAGGGGAACCCCAAGTCCCTCTCCTTCCTGCCGGGCACCGCTGTCCTTCATCAGGGAACCCTGTGCTGGGGGACCTTTGCTTATCTCCTTCTCTCCCGTGGGCTCAGTGCTCACGAGAACCATTTCCTCACCTTCTTCCCCCATGACCTTGTTTCCATGACCGACCGGAAGCAGAGTGAGAACCCAGCCGGGCCTGGAGAGGAAAGGGCAGTGTCTGTGGGTCCGAGGGTCATGGGGAACCGAGTAGCCAGTGCGATGGAGAATGAGTGCACGCCCATTTTACAGACCAGGACACTGAGGCCCAAGCCAGGCTGCATCCTTCCTTTGCAGTATACCGCCCCCGTTCCCCAAGCACTAACTGACCCCGCCTGTCTCTCACGGGTGCCGACCGTGGTCGCACTGTTTGCCGGGTCCGGCACGTGGAGACAGCTCCACTCCGGTGCTCGGGGCTCACCCACCCCTGCTCTCTGGTCGGCAGGACACGGAGCGTTTCCAGGCCCGCAGCCAAGAGCTGGAGCGGAAACTGCTGGCCAAGGAGCAGGAACTGCAGCAGCTGGAGCAGAAGCAGAAGCGGGTACGGCCTGGCGGGGGGTGGGGGGGCGGCACTGGGGGGCACAGCGCCCAGGGGTAGTGCTCTCCTGGGGCCCCCGGAGGAGGCGCTGAGATCATGCTGGGGCCAGGGTGGGGGGCAGCAGGACTTTCTTCTGTTCCCTGTAGGAGAGAGGAAGGGGTACCCACGGAGGGACTTGGTCTGGCCGTACTCCCCATCAGGCAATGCCGGACAGGGCTGGTGCCCTCTGGGTGCCCACCCGGACCCCCGCTTGGTGGGGGTGGTCTTTCTTCCAGTGGGATGGGGGTCTTCACAGGCTGTTGGCCTGCCCCTCTCTTCCCATGTGCCCGGGTGAGGGTCTTTGTGACTGTCCCCCCCCTCCGATGCCCCCCAACTCTGCAGGGTGGCGATACAACCCCTGGCCACACCTCAGAGGCCCTGCAAGGTCCCCCAGGAAGCAGGCTGGGGGGCGGGGGGGGTGGTCCTGTGCAGGGCAGAGTCTGGCCATCTGGCGGCGGTGGGGGGGTGGAGAGGGGTGGGATTCCCAAGGCCTGGGACAGGGTGGGGGGTGGGGGTGTGGCTGGTTGCCTGCCCAGAGCAAACCTCGCGCTCGTGCTGTTTCTCTGGAACTGGAGGGGAGAAACCAAGACCCCCTCCCGTTTGCTTTTTCCTTCCATTTTTCATTTTTCTCTCTGCTTCTGGAAAGTTCTGGAAGGAATCCAGCCCTAGTCAGACCCCCGGCACATTGTTTCCATTTGATGAGGGGGAGGGGAGGAGAGAGAGGGAGAGAGAGAGAGAGAGAGAGAGAGAGAGAGCGCAGGGAGGGGAAGGGAAGGGAGGGGAGGGAAGGGGAGGGGAGAGGAGGGGAGATCAGAGCTATTTTCTGCAACACATTAGCTCTGCCTGAAAGCACCCCCCTCCCAGGCTGGAGCTGACCTGCTCCCCAGCACCGGCCTTGTCGGTCTGCTCTTCTCTCTCTGCAGCAAGGTGACTGCAGCGCCAGAAAGAGCCAGATGCGTTCCACCCCCCCCCCCCCCGCCGCCCCCCTGCCGCGGTACCTCCCTCTCTGCCTCACCATTATTGCGCTGAGTTCTTGCCAATTAGATTTATTCCTCAAATGAATGATTGTCACTCGACTTAATGAGGGCCCGCGCACGCCTGATTACACAGCACCTCTGCAGAGTCCCCTGGGGTGGGGCCTTCCTCCCCTCACCGGTGCCTTCAGAAACGGGGTTTGGGGGTTTATGCGCCCCCACCCCCCCCACCCTCGGTCTGCCCAGGCCTGAGTCTCTCCCTGGTGTGAGCAGAAGGCAGAATGAGCACTGGGCTGGCCAGAGAAGTCAACACCCCTCGGAGGGGTGGATTGTCTGAGATGTTAGGGACCAAAGGTACACGGCGATTTGACCTGGTTTCGCGAGTTCCCCAAACTTTCCAGGGGTCCGAGCGCTAGCACAGCAGTTGGGAGGGCGTTTGCCTTGCAAGAGGCATCCCATAGGGTCCTCTTGAGCCCCACCGGGAGAATTCCTGAGTGCAGAGCCAGGAGTAACCCCCCAGCACCACCGGATGTCGCCCCCAAACAAACCAAAAAGTAAATAAATGAGTAGAACTTTCCAGGGTTGGCAGAGAAAGTTGCTCTGGATACCAGAAATTTTGTGTTTTTCTTTCTTTTTTTTTTCCTTTTTGGGTCACATCTGGCGATGCACAGGGGTTACTCCTGGCTTTGCACTCAGGAGTTACTCCTGGCAGGTGCTCAGGGGACCATATGGGATGCTGGGAATCGAACCCGGGTCTGCTGCGTGCAAGTTAGCCGCTGTGCTATCTCTCCAGCCCCTCATTTTTTTTGATGGGGAGGGCCAAGGGGCTCCCAAGCTCCTAGGCTGGGGTGAGGGTGAGGGGTGACTCCCTGTCAGGAGCAGATGGAGTGATGTAGGACTTCCGGATGCAATGCCAAGGACCACCAGGACCACCCTCCAGGGGACCAGAGGTCTCTAGGACTGAACCAAGGGGTTTGGGGGGGTCATGTAGTGCTAAGGTTTGGACTCGGATTCCAGTGCATGCACCCCTGACTGCTGGACCGGCTCTCCAGTCCCCAGACAAGACAGGTTTTTTTTTTCTTTTTGGGTCACTCTCAGCGATGCTCAGGGGTTACTCCTGGCTCTGTGCTCAGGAATAACTCCTGGCGGTGCTCAGGGGACCCTGTGGCATGCTGGGGATTGAACGTGAGTCGGCTGTGTGCAAGGCAACACCCTCCCCACCGTGCTATCGCTCCAGCTCCCAGACAGGACGCTTGTATGAAGCATCTGTCTGCCATTCACCCTCCTCCCCCAGGAGTGAGGCAGAGAAGTGGGCCTGGGGGCCACAGAGGTAGGTAGCACACCTGCTTGGAATCCCGATGCCTCAGTTCAATTCTAGGCCCCCCTCTAGTCCCCCGAGCACCATCAGGAGTGATTCCTGAGCACAGAGCCAGGAATAGCCCCCGAGCACTGCCAGGAATGACCCAACACCACCACCAAAAAAAAAAAAAAAAAAAAACAAGGAAAGAAACGGGCTTTGAGGACAGGAAGGGCTCGGGTCAGATCCTCAGTCCAGAGGAGCCGGGAAAGACACAGTGATGGTCCGGATTGAACTGTGAGTCCAGGCGCCCACTGCCCTTCCTGCCCTCTGCCGGGTCTCTCTTTCTTTCTCTTTTTCCTCTTTCTTTCTTTCTTTCTTTCTTTCTTTCTTTCTTTCTTTCTTTCTTTCCTCCCTTCCTTCCCTCCCTCTCTCCCTCCTTCCCTCCCTCTCCCTCCCTCCCTTCCTTCCTTCCTTCCTTCCTTCCTTCCTTCCTTCCTTTCTCTCTTTCTTTCCTTTCTTTTGTTTCTTTCTCTTTTTCTTTCTCTATTTCTCTTTGTCTTTCCTTTCCTTTCTTTCTGTCTCTTTCTTTCTCTTTCTCTTCTTTCCTTTTCTTTCTCTCTCTTTTTTCTTTTTATCTATTCCTTTCTTTCTCTTTCTCCTTATTTCCTTCCTTCCTTCCTTTCTTTCTTCCTTTCTTTCTTTCCTCCCTTCCTTCCCTCCCTCTCTCCCTCCTTACCCCTCTCTTCCTTCCTTCCTCTCTTCCTTTCTTTTTCTTTCTTTTCTTTTGTTTCTTTCTCTTTTTCTTTCTCCATTTCTCTTTCTTGTCTTTCCTTTCCTTTCTTTCTGTCTTTCTTTCTCTTTCTCTTCTTTCCTTTTCTCTCTTTTTTCTCTTTTTCTCTATTTCTTTCCTTTCCTTTCTTTCTTTCTTTCTCTCTCTTTCTCCTTCCTTCCTTCCTTCCTTCCTTTCTTTCTTTCTTTCTTTCTTTCTTTCTTTCTTTCTTTTTTCAACCACACCCAGCTACACTCAGGGCTTACTCTTGGCTTGGCGCTCAAGAATCACTCCTGGTGGGCTCAGGTGTTCTGAGGACTGAACAGGGGTGGCCTCATGAAAGGCAAACATCCTGCCTGCTGTACTCTCCTTCCGGCCTCCAGCCACCGGGTATTCATGATGCTGCCATTTCCCCCAGAGTGATCCGTGGTCCTCTGGGGACTGGCAGGAAGCACGGATAAGGAGCAGGACCAGAAAAGACTTACGGAGACTGGTGGGCAGTGAGGGGTGGGAGGCGGGTGGCCGCCCCCGGGGAAAGGAAGGTCACGCACGGCCAGTGCTGTTTGTTCATCTCTGGTCTCCGCTGTCCCCTTACTCCCTTGCAGCTGGAAGGCCAGTACAGTGCCCTGCACACCGACAAGGATGCGACCAAGGCCGAGAACGCCAAGCTGAAGCTCAGCAACCAGGAGCTGGCCCGGGAGCTGGAACGGGCCTCGCGAGAACTTCAGGACGCCCAGCAGCAGCTGGGAAGCCTGCAGCAGGAGGCCTGCCAGCTGCAGCAGGAGAAGGAGATGTGAGTCCTCGCAGCCGGTCCGCGCTCCAGCCCTCCCCTACTCAGAGGCCCCCTCTCCCGGCCTCAGGTCCTGGTTCTCTGCGACCAGCCGGGAGCACTCTGAGATGATGGTACCAAGCACCTAGCACGTGCCTCGCAATTGGCATGAAGTACCCAGAGAAACTCGGAAAACTGAACACGTGCTCAGCGGGGCACCTTGTCCAGCCGATTAATCCAAGAGGGTCGGTGAGAAAAATACCGAGTGAGCCACACCACCTTCCCGCCAGAGTGGAGGGACCCGGAGGCCCCCATGGATGGAGAAGAAGCAAAGGGACTCATTGTTAATCGTGCGGGTGACCCTGTCTTCACTCCAGCCCTGTGCACCCTTCCCTCCTCACCTTTCCCCAGGAGGAAGCCCCACCCCCATCTCTCAGGGTTCAGTAGGCTACGTGGGAGCACTCCAGGAGGAATCAAGGGGTCCCTAAAGCTAGAGGTATCAGCCCCTGGATCTGGTCTTAGGGGCTAATTTTTTTTTTTTTTTTGCTTTTTGGGTCACACCCGGCGATGCTCAGGGGTTACTCCTGGCTCTGCACTCAGTAATCACTCCTAAGGGTGCTCGGGGGACCATATGGGATGCTGGGGATTGAACCTGGGCCAGCCGCGTGCAAGGCCAATGCCCTCCCTGCTGTGCTATCGCTCCAGAGTCAAGGGGAAGAGGGTTAAGCTTAGAGAACAAATGCAACCCCCTTCCCCAGGCTGCAGGCTGGTTTCTGTCTTTTGTCCCATCCCGTGTCCACAGTTCCATCCTCTGACCCACATAGACAGAGCCTCTCCCCCTATCTGAGCCAGGCACCGTGTTGGGCCCCAGGCTCACTTCCCGTCCCCAGTCTGACCTTCTCTCACCCCATCCTTCCAGCATCCCAGGTGAACACACAGTGCCCTGATGAGGGACAGATGAGGCAGCTCTGAGCTCAGAGGACGGAAGTCACTGACCTTAGAGGCAAAGGCTAGACCCCCTGCTGGCTCCCTCCTGTGTCAGGCCCCAAGTGTATCCCTGGGGTATGTGTTTGGGAAAGAATGAAGCAATCTTGCATTCATTCATGCTTTCATTCATTCCTCTGTGGCCCAGTGTTGTTTCTCTCCCTCTGCTAGTTGACAGGGAAAGGAGTTGCAGTGTTACTGATAATAATGACTAATGCTTAACTTTTTGGGGGGGGGTCACCTCCGACAATGCTCAGGGGTTCCTCCTGGCTCTGCACTCAGGAATTTACCCTTGGCAGTATTTGGGGGACCATGTGGGATGCTGGGAATCGAACCCGGGTCGGCAGCGTGCAAGGCAAATGCCCTACCTGCTGTGCTATTACCCCAGTCCATGCATATACATATACACATGAATGTTCATATACATATAATCTCAATAGCTGACTTAAAAATATATAAATATTGGGAGGCTGGAGCGATAGCACAGCGGGTAGGGTGTTTGCCTTGCATGTGGCCGACCCGGGTTCAATTCCCAGCATCTCATAGGGTCCCCCGAGCACCACCAGGAGTAATTCCTGAATGCATGCGCCAGGAGTAACCCCTGTGCAATTCCAGGTCTGACCCAAAAATAAAAAATAAAAATAAAAAAAATGTCAATATTGGTTTGGAGTCAGCAGTAGTTAGGGGCTATTCCTGGCTGAGTGCTCAGAACCATGCAATGCCAAGGATTGAACCTGCAACTCTAGTTTATAAGGTGTGCGCAATAATCTTTTGAGCCATTTCCCAAGCATCCCCAATAGCTGACTTTGTTTGTTTGGGGGCTGCACCTGGAGGCGCACAGAGATTACTCCTGGTTCTGTGCTCAGAGGTTACTCTTGGTGGTGCTTGGGAAACCGTAGGGTGTGCCAGGGATTGAACCTGTGTTGACCATGTGCAGAGCAAGCGCCCTACCCACTATACTATCTTCCCGCTCTCTCCCAAGCACTGGATTTTAAAACTTGTTTATCCAGCCCTGCATGGCCCCCAGAGCACTGGGGGAAGGAGCCTTGAGCACTAAACTGGGAGTACCCCTGAGCCCTGCTGGGTATGACCGCCTCACACACACACACCAACAGCAACCTCCAAGGAGCCCAACCTGCCTCTTCCAAAGCTGGGAGCTGAGGTGATCTGGGCAAGGACAGTGTATTTCACCACCAACAAGCAAAATCAGTTCCTCCTCATTGAGGGCAGGTCAACGAGGCACCAGCATTTAACTCTACAAACAGAATTAAGGATTCAGGCTCTTAAAATCCAATCAGGTGCTAACAGCAACACGCCTCTGAAGGCACACAGGCCTTAGAACAGCAAACGGAACTGAGCAGCCCAGGGCTTGGGCGTCAAATCACAGCGTGAGGATTAAAATCTTTTCTGAAGTCTTATCTTAATTAACCGAACCTGAGATGCACACTCTCTCTCGGGCGGGCGGCTGGAAACGGAAACAGAGAAACGGGAGGTGGTCGGGTGGGAGTGGGGGGGAGATACAGATTCTAGAACCTTCTCCGCTGGTGGGCTTTGTGGGCGTGGGCTTCCTTCCTGTGAAGAAGGGTGCAGGGAGCCGCTCTCCAGCAGATGGGCAGGGGTGGGGGCGGGGGCACCCCAGTGTGCAGAGAGACCCAGTCGTTTGTCAGCTAGTTCTGAACGGCAATTTCCCATTCTCTGAAGGTGCTCCAAGGAGACCTAGATTTTAAAAATGAGATAAAAGCAGAGAGCAATCTAGGAGGGGAGATGATGCCTGGAGGAAAGCACTGTGAGTTTTAATTAAGTAGTAGAGGAGGGTGCTGAAAAGACACAAAAAATAAACACCCCCCCCCAAAAAAAGAGATGTATGCCCTTTCCCCGTGACTCCTGGAACACTATCACCCAGAAACCACCAGTCATGGAGTCTTGTGGACCTTCCAGAATATTTCTTGTTTATACAAACACTCCCCCATTGCCCATACACACACAGAGACACACACTCACACACACAGAGTTTTCATTGCACAGCAGTGTCCCATCTTTTGTTCTTTTTTTCTTAGGGTCACACCCGGTGATGCTCAGGGGTTCATCCTGGCTCTGCACTCAGGAATGACTCTCCTGGAGGTGCTCGGGGGGCCCTATGGCATGCTGGGAATCGAACCAGGGTTGGCCGCGTGCGAGGCAAACACCCTACCTGCTGTGCTATCGCTTCAGCCCCAGTATCCCATCTTTTTCATTCAACAGTGTTTTGGAGAGAGCTTTGCCTCTTCTGTCCCCTAAAATAACCACCAATGAGCCTTCTGTCCCGGTCACCGGTCACTGGAACAAAACCAACAAAGCAAATCCTTTCCCCTTCCAGTTCACGTTTACACAGTTAGGAGCTTTGGAATGTTTGAAATGTTTAGGTTAGAAGGGTGCCAAGTTCATTTCTGGAATCACACTTGTCATCTCTCCTACCCCACTCAGAAATGCTTTTCCTTTTGTTAACACAAACAATCACGGTCACGGTCCTCCCGTTGTTCATCGATTTGCTCGGGCCCAGTCACGTCTCCATCGTGAGATTTGTTGTTACTGTGTTTGGCATATTGAATACATCACGAGTAGCTTGCCAGGCTTTGCCGTGCGGGCGAGATACTCTCGGTAGCTTGCCGGGCTCTCCGAGAGGGGCGGAGGAATCGAACTCGGGTCGGCCATGTTGGCTGCGTGCAAGGCAAACGCCCTACCGCTGTGCTATCGCTCCAGCCCAACACAAACAGTATTTCTGAATATACATGTGTGTAGCTCCAAAGATTTGTGTCTTACTAGACGAAATAGACATGTACTTGATCAGAATGGAACAAAGGAACGTGTGTGTGTGTGTGTGTGTGTGTGTGTGTGTGTGTGTGTGTGTGTGTCCAGTGGCCAATGCGAAAGTATGAAGACAGGAGCTAGAGATCTAGAGATGGGTTGGGGTCCCCCGGTCTGGGCAGGCCATCTGGGCTTGCTTGCCAGAGCAGAATCGTGGAAGAACTTTGGGGACCCGTCTGGCTCAGAGGAAATCCGTTATTTCCCTCATGTTAAAATGATATTTAATGGGGAAGGAAATGTGAGGAATTTGCAACTCTGCAAGACACAGAAGTTTTTCTGCTTAATTAGGATTGTGGAGGCGAACTTAGAATTGGATTCAGTGTCCCCGTTGTCAATGGGCTTGGTAATGACTCTATGAAGAGGGAATCAGGTCATTGCAAATTGGCCAAGACAATCTCCTGGCCCAGTTGACAGACAGAGGGTGGACTCGTGTCCCTGCCTGGCCACTGTGCACCGACACCGGCACCACCCCCCCACCCGCTATTGCCCTGAGCCCATGAGAAGGTGCATGTTACCCACTGTCACATGTCCCCATGCCCAAATATGCCCTCTTTTGCAGATGTGCCATTCTTCGCACTCAACTTGATGGGGATGGGGGTGAAGCATTCTGAGTGGGGTACAGAGCACGAAGGAGAGGGCGACAGGACCCCACTTAAGGGACTCTCACTTGCGAGTCCCCGAGCACAGCCTCCGCACCGCTGCCCGCCTGCTCCTGCCTCTCCCTCTCTTGCCCCATCGTGTCCCCCTCCCCTTCCCTCTCCCTCCCCCTCTCTTTCATCTCCCTCTTCTTCCCTCCTTCTGCTTTTCCTCCTCCCTCTCTCCCTCCTTCTCATACTCCCTTCCCTTCTTCCCTTTCTCCTTCCCTCTCTCCTTCCTTCTCTCCCTCCTTCCTTCCCCTCCCTTCCATCCCTCCTTCTCTTTCCCTCCCTTTCTTTGATTTTTCTCCTCCCTCCCTCTTTTCCTCCCTCCCTTCCTCGCTTTCTTCCTCCTTCTTTCTTTCCTTCACTCCTCCTTCACTCCTTCCTTCTTTCCTTCCTCCCTCCCTTCCTCCTCCTTTCCTTCCTTCCTTCCTTCCTTCTTTCCTTCCTTCCTCTTTCCTTCCTTCCTCTTTCCTTCCTTCATCCTTCCATCCTTCCTTCCATCCTTCCATCCTTCCTTCCTCCCTTCCCCTTCCCTTCTTTCTTCCCTTCCTCCCCTCTCCTCCCATCCCTTCCCCTCCCTATCTTCCATCCTTCCCTTGTCCCTCCTTCCCTTCCATTCTTCCTTCCTCCTTCCTTCCATTCTTTCTTCCTCCTTCCTTCCTTTCTTCCTTCCATCCTTCCTTCCTTCTTCCTTCCTTCCTTCCTTCCTTCCTTCCTTCCTTCTTCCTCCCCCTTCCTTCTTCCCTCCCTCCCTTCCTTCCTTCCTTCCTTCCTCCTTCCTTCCTTCCTCCTTCCATCCTTCCTTCCATCCTTCCATCCTTCCTCCCTCCCTTCCCCTTCCCTTCTTTCTTCCCTTCCTCCCCTCCCCACCTTCCATCCCTCCTTTCTCCCTCCTTCCCTTCCATTCTTCCTTCCTCCTTCCTTCCTTTCATCCTTCCTTCCTTCCTTCCTTCCTTCCTTCCTTCCTTCCTTCCTTCCTTCCTTCCTTCCCCCTCCCTCCTGCTGTGACCAGCTCCCATGCAGGAGTGTGGGACTGAGAAGCTCCGTGGATCCCAACCCTCTGGACCCGCCCCTGCCCCCCTGCCCTCTGGACACCCCTGCAGCCACACCTCTCTCCCTCGCCTCACACTCCTGCTCAGATGGGCCCCTTCTCACCGAGATGCAGGCAGCTGACCTGCCACTGACTCAGAAATCGCTCCTTCACAGCTATTGATCAGAAACCCTAAATCCAAGAAATGAATGGTCAACAGGGGAGGCTCCAAATCTCGGGACTGATTTGCAGGGAAGGTAAAACGCTTCTCTGCAAAACTGCCAAACCAGCTGGGGAGATGCAGCTGCAGAAGGCTCGTGAGTGGACGCCCACCCTGGAGCTGAGAGCTAGTGGGCAGTGGAGGCCGGGCTCCGTGGCCCCTTCAGGGAAGGGGCATAATCACACCTTCCTTTTGAGGATGCGCTGAGCCCCCTGCCTGGCGTCTCCCCAACCATGCCTCAATCCTGAGTCTGCCGGGTTCGGGGTCGGGGTCCCTGGGTCCCCCCAGATCCCCCCTTACAGCGTCTGCCCCTCCCCAGGGAAGTGTACCGTGTGACGGAGAGTCTGCAGCGCGAGAAGTCAGGGCTCCTGAAGCAGTTGGATTTCCTGAGGTGCGTGTGCCCACCCCCCCACCCTCCCTCCCCTTGGTATCCCCCTGCTCCCCGCTGAGAGCCCCTCCTCCTGGCCATCACTGCCCAGCTGGGCACCAGAATGAGACAAACAAACACACCAGGACTGCCTGAGCTCTAGGGTGGCCCGAAGAGCCCTAAATGGTCCCACTGGCTGCCTGTTTCTTCAATCCAGTGTCGCCTCTCCCAGCCGGGCTGCCAGGGAGCCGACCATATATTCAGCCCAGTTCAGAGTCATTCCACCACCTAACAGAGGACCAGATGGAACATCAGGGATCAAACTGGGGTTGGCCCCAGGCGAGGCAAAAACTCCACCCACCATCCCAGCCCCTGAGGGATGCTCTGAGAGCAGAGACTGGGGCATTTCAAGGGGCTCAGTACTATAAAAAACCTCTTTACAGTAGAGAGTTTCCTGTTGGATTCCGGCCGGGGTACAGGATTGCACCCTGGTCTCTAAACTTGTTTTACGGCAATTTCCTGTACGTATGTCCCCCCTGGTACACTCGAACCCAGCTCAGAGTGGGTGATTGAGAACTAGCTTCTTGTGGCCGTTCACACACACACACACACGCACACACACACACACACACACACACTCACAGCTCTCCAGTTTATAGATAGCACCCACCCTTGGTGCCATCGCCTCCTGAGAGTCTCCCAGGCCCTGGCTGGGTGCTAGCTCACATGGTGATGGAGTGAGTGGGGAGTACAGGGGGCTGAATTTAGTATTTCATGAGCATCTACTTAGCTGGATAAGACTCTCTCTCTCTCTCTCTCTCTCTCTCTCTCTCTCTCTCTCTCTCTCTCTCTCCCCATCTTCCACAAAACTCAGGCAGTGGCTTTGTAGAACTTACCCGGTGATCCAGTGACCCTGGAGAAACCCAGGAACTTAGCTAGAAGTGACACCACCACTCTGTGGGGAGCACTGAGCTGAGAGCCTGACCTGACTCTCTGGAGTTGTTCTCACCACATCTTCCCATTGTTGAGGAATGTTGAGTGGGCAACGCCTCATGGGCAGAGCACCAGCCAGAGTTCGGGAGCACTCTGGGCTGATGGTAACTCACTGTCAGAAACTCCGAAGTTCATTGGCTTCAAAGGATCAAAACAAACTTGGGAACCAGAGAGAGAGAGAGAGAGAGAGAGAGAGAGAGAGGTTGATGGGGCACTTGCCTTGCACGCCCCAGCTGTTCCCTGTTACATTCCCCAGAACCGTGAACAATCCCCCAAGCCCTGCCAGGAGGGACCCCTGGGCACAGAACCAGGAGGAAGCCCTGAGCAATGCCAGGTGTGGCCCCCAAATCAACAGACACAACAAACAAAAAAGCAAGGCTGTGTGGAGATGGAGTTTTCTGTTCAACGCAGCCTTAAGGTCCCTCTTGGTCCTCCCCTTGGTGCTTCTTGGAGGCCAAGGAGGAAAGAGAGAGATTTGTCACGAGTCCTGCATTCCCTCAGCTGCGGTCCCTAAGAGAGTGCGTGTTCATCCTTCCTGGCTGCCCCCCGACCCCCAACCCACTCTGCTCTCTGCAGACCACCCCAGCCTCTCCACGTGTGTGTCTAAATCCATCTCCCCCTTCTGCATCTGCAGGGAAAGGAACAAGCATCTCCGTGACGAACGGGACATACGTTTCCAGGTACTGGTGGGAACTGCCTTTTGCCGGGGTGGGAGGTGAGGGCCCTGTCTAGGGCCAGCCAGGTTTGTGGGGCTCACTCAGTGTCCTGCGGTTCCGGCTTGAAGGACTCTTCCTGAGTGTGGAGAATGGTGATGTGTGATTATTTTTTTTTTCATAATTTAATTTTGGGTGCCGCACCCAAGCACGTCTCAGGGGTTATTCCTGGTTCTGTCCTCAGAAGTGATGGAGCTGGAGCGATAGCACAGCGGGGAGGGCGTTTGCCTTGCAAGCGGCCTACCTGGGTTCGATTCCCAGCATCCCATATGTTCCCCCCGAGCACTGCCAGGAGTGATTTCTGAGTGCAGAACCAGGAGCAACCCCTGAGCATCGCTGGATGTGACCCAAAAAGGATGGTGCTCCAGGGGCCCTATGCAGCACTGGGAATCGAACCTGGGTCGGCGACATGCAAGGCAAACACGATATCATCTCTCTGTCCCCAAGATACTTTTCTGTTTGCTTTCGAGCCACACCCTGTGGTGCTCAGGGGTTACTCCTGACTCTGCACTCAGGAATTACTCCTGGCACTGCTTTAGGGGACGTGTGGGGTGTCAAAGATCAAACCCAGCTCTGCTGCGTGCAAGGGAAGCTGTACCATCTCTCTGGCCTCCGCAAGATATTTTTTACTGAGATAAAAATGTGCAGGGATGTGTAAGTCTGCAACTGTACCTCATGTAAGGCGTTTGCCTTGCACGCAGCCAACATGGCCAACCCGAGTTCGATTCCTCCGCCCCTCTCGGAGAGCCCGGCAAGCTACCGAGAGTATCTCACCCGCATGGCAGAGCCTGGCAAGCTCCCCGTGACGTATTCGATATGCCAGACACAGTAACAACAAAGTCTCCAATGGAGACGTTACTGGGCCCGCTCGAGCAAATCGATGATCAATGGGAGGGCCTTCTTGTTCTTCTTCTTGTTCTATTAAAATAATAGAAAAAAATGTGCAGGGGCTTTTAAACCAAAATGTGGTTCTTACTTTCATGAACATCTTTTATATCCCACCATGAAGTACAGTCATTTTCCTGGGCATAGAACCCATGGAGTAAATACTTCTTTGATAATTGATGTCATCGATTTTGTGTTTCTTTTTTTTTTTTTATTTGGGAACCACACCCAGCTAGGTGATTGGGAGTCACACCTAGAGGTGCTTGGGGACCACACAGTGCCAGGGACGGAACCTGAGACCTGGGCTCTAGCCCTCTGGATCACCTCCCTAGTGCTCAGTTGTCTCTTCACCCCACTTTCTGTAGGTTAATCCTACAGAAATAGTGCTCCCATCACAGTGATCCCATTCCTCTGTGTTTATTTGTAACTTCTGTCTTTGTGCTCTGTGGACTTGTAAATATTATTTTTCCTCTTCTCCTTAAGTCCTTTGCATCGTTAATTCAGAGCAATGTCCTTTTTGTATGGACACAAATCCCACTTATGTTCTTTCTGAGGTTGCAGGAATTCCTTTTTTTTAAAAAAAAAAAAAAAGATAGTCCCTTTGGGCTGCATTAAGCAAAATCTATGCTTCCACCGGACCTCCCCTGCCCTTCTAAAATACAGCCATTGCTGAAGGGTCTGAAGGGAGTGCTGTTAGGATCAGGTTGGTGAATGCAACTTTCTAATCATCCAGATCTTGAAATTTTGGGTGTCACCACTGGCCTCCTTACCATAAGAGCCCATCACTGTATCGCTCTCATTCCACTGTTTGTCGATTTACTCGAGCAGGAGCTAGTAACGTCTCCATCCATCCCAGTCCTGAGATTTTAGCAGCCTCTCCTTACTCGTCCTTCCCAACGCTGCCATAATTGAGGCTCTTTCAGGGTCAGGGGAATGAGACCCGTTATTATTACTGTTTTGGACATATTGAATACGCCATGGGGAGCTTGCCAGGCTCTGCTGTGCTGGTGGAATATTCTCGGTAGCTCTCCAGGCTCGCTGATATATATATATATATATATATATATATATATATATATATACATATATATATGTGTGTGTGTGTGTGTGTGTGTGTTTCCCTCTATGATTTGTTGCCTACTGTCTGAACCCCATCAAATATGGTGTGGTAATTACTAGAAGCCCATAAGGAAAAAGAAATCCCTATCTTTCCCCTACATTTTCGGAATTTTAAAAAGGAGAATATGTATTATTTTTGTTTGTGTGTGTGGGAGGGTCATACCTGGTGGTACTTAGTGCTCACTTCCAGCTCAGTGCTCAGGGATCACTCCTGACAAGGCCATAGGGACCATCGGGAGTGCTAGGGGTCAAACCCAGGTCGACCAAGGGCAAGGCAAGCACCTGACCTGCTGCACTATCACTACCTGCTATCACTCCGGCCTCTGCATTTCAGGAATTTTCGAGACCCACTCCTGGAAGGAGGAGGGGGAGTCTGTGTACTGGACCCTTCACAGGTCACTGTTAATGGCCTGCAGCAGGAGACAGCTCGCTGGCCTCTCGCCTAGCTGCCAGTGGCCAGTTCCTCAAGGACCGCATTCCCACACCATTTCTTCCCACTCTCTGCCTAGGTCGGGCATCTCTGCCAGGCCTCCGCTGCCCTGTTAGAGCCCACACACATTTGAGGGTGATGACGTTTCTAACTGGGGGAGACCTAACACTGAGTCTCTTTCAAAACCTTCCAGCTCAACGGTTCATCCGTCATACCCCCAGATAAACAAACAACACTGGTTTGCCTTCACCTGCTTAAACTTATTTTGCTTTGGAAAGAGAATGGGGCGAAGCACCCTAGTGGGGAATCAAAGAAGGAGGCATCAAACCGTGTTCCTGCTGGCTAATAATTAAAGATTAATTTGGATTCATTAGAACCCTCCCTCCGGGGTCCCCAGAAGCATGACAACACCCCTTCTCTCATTAAGGCTGGCTGGGCACCACAGGAAAGCTGGTTAATGAGACATTCTTCCTGTGATCTAAGCTCCACTCCTCTCCAGGAAGATGCCCAGAAGGGGGGATTAGAGAGGACTTGGAAGCATCCTCTTTCCCCAGGATGCCCGAGCCGTTGACCTGGGCCCACCCACTGACCTCCTTCTTCTCCACAAATCAAAAATCTTTCTCTCAAGCTTTGGAGCTCTGGACAGAACATCGATTTCTTCACCGCTACCCCCGACTTCATTTAAACGCCATGTTTTACAAAGCCGTTCATGATGATTTGTTACAGGCATGCAATATTCCAACCCTAATCCCACCACCACTGTCCTCTTCCCTCCACCACTCTGCCCATTTTCCTAACCACCCCTCAAGCCTGCCTGTGTAGCAGGGCCGCAATCACGAATCACGAATCACGACCATCGTGTTGTTCGTCGATTGCAGGCCCCAGTAACGTCTCCTTCATCCTAGCCCTGAGATTTTTAAGAAAGTGCCATATTCAAGGCTCTTTGGGAGAATGAGACCCATCATTGTTACTGGTATTTGGCATATTGGGTACGCCACGGGGAGTTTGCCAGACTCTGCCATGTGGGCAGGTTACATTCGGTAGCCTGCCAGTTGATCCAAAGTAGGAATGAGATAATAAGATGTCATAATAAGATGTCGTGCGGCCGCGAATGCTGGTTTTTATAGTCTCTGAGTCTTGGTCATTGATGGGATTACACGGCACCAGAGGGCCAGTTGGTGGGTTTGACCCCCGCCTACTGGAATTTGAAGGATCTGGGTGGAGGATGCTCAGCCCCGATCCGAGTAGGCTTGGAGATCTCAGCCCCAGGACCCAGGGCCACAATAATTTATTTTATATTGCTGGTTACCATTAGATGGCTAATGGAATGATCAAAACATTATTTCCATACAAGAAATTTTGTGAAAATTGTTGTACCTCCCTATGGGGATAGTAAGTCTTTGAAGTTTGACTAAGCTGTCCAGAACATTGATTTCTCAGCGCTGGGCCTGTGCCCCGTCTTAGATCTGGGCTTTGGAATTGGGGCCACAGAGAAGGTGGCATTTGGAAATGGACAGTCTGTGAAATGAATGTTTATCCTAAGCTTCCCCACCTGGCTTTCTTTGCGGTTTGGATGTAGATAACCACTACTCTTTTTTTTTTTTCTGCTTTTTGGGTCACACCGAGTGATGCTCAGGGCTTACTCCTGGCTCTGCACTCAGGAGTTACTCCTGGCGGTGCTCAGGGGACCATATGAAATGCTGGGAATAGAACCCGGGTCAGCCGCATGCAAGGCAAACTCCCCGCTGTGCTATCGCTCCAGCCCCAGATGACCAGTACTCTCAGGAAGACCATCCTGGTCAATCCCAGGCTCTGGATCATGACTTGGTGTGTTCAGGTCTATGACATGCTGGACGAGGCAGGAATTTGGGTTAAAAGGAGGGCCAGGAGGGCTAGGGGATAAAGAGTCATGCTCACAGGGAGACCAGCATCTCACTTGGTTGCTTCACCATTTGCTTTCAAGCCTGACCCCATGAGTGGGGGAGTTGAGTGCGTTTCTGCTCAAAGCCGGGGACCAATCGGCAGGCGTGGATCTGAGGGGATTTTGTGTTTCTGCAGAGAGATAAGGCAGCCAAAGCAAACACAGCTGCTGCCAAGGCGAGTTGGAAACAGCGATCAGGCTCTGTGATCGGCAAATACATTGACAGCAGAGGGGTTCTTAGAAGGTAAGTCGTCATCCCTGGCTTCACTTTGCTTTTTTTTGGTTGAGGGGGCTTGGGGCCAACACATACCAATTTGGGGCCCTGAGTTCCATACTGACAACTGCTCTCCTCTGCTAGTTTTGGAGGAGGTGGTGGTGTGGCCACCAGGACCCCAGTTCCACTGATGCTCCAGGGCCAATCGAGAGACACAGTGACACATAGAGAAAGAGCTTCCCTGGCAGCCAGCCGGCAGGTGGGAAGATGGGGAATTCAAATCCTCAGGGTTTGTGTTGCCGTATGGTAACAATAAGAGTTTTGTTCAGGGGCTGGAGCGATAGCACAGAGGGGAGGGCATTTGCCTTGCACACAGCCAACCCGGGTTCGATTCCCAGGGACCTGGCAGGGAGGACCCTATGTGGCGCTGGGGATCGAACCCAGATGGCTTGGTGTGCAAGGCCCGCGCCCTCTCTGCTGTGCTCTCCCTCCAGGCCTTCCACGTTCATTTTTTTTCATCTGTTCATTCAGCTGTACTCACTGGGGGTTAGTTGTCTTTGGACCCTTGCTGGGTGCAACTGACCATTCAGATGGAAGGCCACGTGCTGTCCCGTTCCGACTTCCATTTCGGAGAGGACTGTGCGGAGTTAGCCCCAAAGATAGAACATGGCCCACTGAGGCCACCTCACCCTCGTGTGTGCCTTCAGGAAGGAAGTAAAGAGGAACAGTTAGTCTGCAGAGAGGGCGGGAGGAGCATGGTCAGAGGATGGAGGTGGAGGGCTGGCTCTACTGCAGGTGGTCCAGCAGAATGGATGGATGGATGGTTTGATTTTTCAGGGGTGTGAAATGGTCACACCCTGAATTGCCTTGGGATGGTCACTTCAGCGTCCTCTGGAATCTCATTAATTATGTTTCTTTTTTCAGATAAGAGTGGGCAGGGAGGGGGCCAGAGAGATTGTCCAATGGGCAGTGTGCTTACCTTGCATGCAGCTGGTCCGGGTTCTCCCTCAGCCCTGCGTACAAGATCTCCTGTAGGCCACTAGTGGTCGCCCTTGAGCACAGAGCCAGGACTAGCTTCTGGAAGCCAGGAGTGGCCTAACCACACCCCTTTGCCCCTAAGAAAGAAATGACCTATGCAAGAGAGATTCCTTTCGAGGGCGCACATCGAACTCACTCCACGGTGACAGACAGGTTATCTTTGGGCATGTTGGACAACACCTGGTTGAGTTTGAGTCTCCTAGAAGTGGCTTGTTGTTCAGAGAGACATCCACCCCTCCACCCAGTTCCCTGTCCTCTCTTCTCTGGAGTTCACCCTTCGTCCTTATAGATGGAGAGGTAGAGGCGACCAGATTCCCAAGGAGCAGATAATCTGGGGGAATGGAGGGGACTTGTGTTACCTAGGCGACACTGTCAGTAGCCAGCATGAAGTAAGAGATACACAAAGGGGAGGGGATTCTGGGGAGGGGGGGGGATGAGAGAGAGTAAGCTGATGGATCAAGTTCTTAGATGAATCCTCATGAATTCCTCTTTTCAGTATCTGAATGGTGACGTGCAAGGAGGAAGTTGAATTTCTGCAATGGTAGTTTGGCCTTTTGGTTCTTCAGAGCCAGTTGCAGGGCTCACAGAGGTAGACAGTACAGAGGGGAAGGTGCATACACTGCACGCTGACCCCGATTTCATTCCCAGTACCACATATGGTCCCCTAAGCACCCCCAGGGGTGACCCCTGAGCACTGAGCCAGGGAGTGCTGCTGGGCATGGTCCCCAAAGCCAGATCATCAAATGAAACGAAATGAAAAAGAACTGAAGATATTCACTGATTCATTCACTCGACTAGCATTTACTCTGAGCCAGATATTCTTCTGAGTCTTCTGAAAGGCTCCCAGGATAAATGAGACTCGGATTCTGCCATCTGGCTCGATGATCGAGGGTTTCCTAGCAGGCAAGATTCTGAGGCATACGTCAGGTATCCAGTTGCGAGTGACATAGACCTGACCTCTGCTTTCATGGCGCTTGTGGTTGAGTGGAGGAGGTAGGTAGTAGCCAAGGAATAGCCAACCAGTTTGGGGCCCTGAGTTCCATACTGGCTTCTGCAGAGGTAACTGCTCTCCTCCGCTGAGGGGGGAGGGGGCGTTGGGGCGGTGTGAACACCGAGGTCCCAGTTCTACTGATGCTCAAGGGCCAATCGAGAGACACAGTGGCACATAGAGGAAGAGCTTTATTGGCAGCCGGTCAGCAGGTGGGAAGATGGGGAACTCAAGTCCTTGGGTCCGTGTTGCCTGTATGGTAACAATAAGAAAACTATTATGGTAACATAATAGCAAGTAGTTAACAATAAGAGTTTTGTTTAGGGACTGGAACGATAGCACAGCAGGTAGGGCGTTTGCTTGCATGTAGCCAACCCAAGTTCGATTTCCAGAGTCCCATGTGGTCCCCCAAGCACCGCCAGGAGTAATTCCTGAGTGCAGAGCCAGCTGTAACCCCTGTGCACCACTGGGTGTGACCCCCTAAAAGAAAAAAAAAGTTTAGTTTAGTTTAGTCTTTTTTTTTCATTAGTGAAACACCATGAGATACAGTTATAGACTTAGAAATTTTTGTGCTTGGGTTTCAGTTATACAATGATCAAGTACCCATCCCTCCACCAGCGCCCATCCTCCACCACCACAGGTCCCAGCATCCCTCCCACCCCCCATCCCTCCCATCCCATCCCGCCTCTGTGGCAGGACATTCCCTTTTGTTCTCTCTCTCTCCTTTTGGGTCCTGTGGTTTGCAAGAGAGGCATTGAGCAGAAATCATGTTTGGTCTCTAGTCTACCTTCAGCATGCTTCTCCCACCCTGGGAGGATCCTCCCAACACCCTTTATTTGGTGCTCTCTTCTCTATCTGAGCTTCCTTTTCCCCTAGCACATGTGGCTGGCCTCCAAGTCATGGAGCAAAATTCCTGGTACTAATCTCGGCCACTCCTGGGTGTTAGTCTCCCATTTTGTTGCTTTATGTTCCCCAGATGAATGCAATCTTTCTATGTCTATCCCTCTCTTTCTGACTCATTTCGCTTAACATGAAACTTTCCATGTAGTACCACTTGTATGTAAATTTCATGACTTCATCTTTTCTAATAGCTACATAGTACTCCATTGTGTAAATGTACCAAAGTTTCTTTAACCAGTCATCTGTTCTCGGGCACTCAGGTTTTAAAAAGAGCAGAGAAACATGCTTTTAGGAATGGGGGACCGTAAACTCACAGATCCCAGGTTCCCATGGTGATCAGCAAAGTCCCTCCCAGGCTGGTGCCCTGGGATGCACTGTCTTATCTATAACCCTGAACAAGTTTCAGCTTTTGTGGGGTAGGGCAAACTGAGATCCTATCTTTAGACCTTGAGAGAAGATAAGTCAAGGACAAGTTTCTTTCTTCTACTATCCAATTCAGCTCATAATCTCTTTGGCCTGTTTTCAAACCCAAAATTGAATTTAGTCACGCTAAGCTGAAGATGATACGTAATGCCAATAGTACTTGAGAATGTCCCAAATAGTTGTGTTCCTACCCCCCACCCCCACAAAAATTGCTTCATTCTAGTGTAATTTCAGAAACAATTTCTTGTGTGGTTGCAAGGTCTTTTAAAAGAAATAGTGTGTATGTATACGTAGGGAGGGGGGTGTGCATGTGAGATGTGTGTGTGTGTGTGTGTGTGTGTGTGTGTGAGCTACTTGTGTCCACAAATGTGCGTTCCTGGGTGTGAAGGCAGAATGAAAGTGTGTTGGGATTAAATTGGTCTTTCCAGATCTGTTTTCATCCCTCGTACCCTTTACTTCTTCCAGCTGGGGAAAGTGCATTCCTGGGTGTGATTCTTGCTTCAGCCTCTCTGTCAGTCCATTCCATGCAGACAGGGGCAGGCTGTGTCCATCTATTTATCTTTAGCTTAATCCCTGACAGTAAACATCATCATCAACCACCTTCATCTCTCCCTTCATCATCATCTCCATCCTCACCTCCCTCTCCGCCTCCATGCCCTTCTCATCTCTTGCATCCCTTTCATTGCCTTCATCCTCACCTCCATCGCTTCGCACGGAGGGTATGGACTGAAGGAGTTCGAGAAGGCTGGAGGCAGACTTCCCCTTTCCTGGGGTTCTCTGCCCCACCTAGACCCGGTTGGTCTCCTACTCACTCTCTGGTCACCCTCCTGCCCCCCTGTTGATAAAACGTACAATGTCTTCCTGACGCTTCTTTCCTTCATCCCCAAACAGCCAGTCAGAGGAGGAGGAAGATGTGTTTGGTGTCCTCAGGAGGAGAAGCTCCCTGGGCCTGAGTGGAGATCCCCTTCCGGAAGAGGACCCGGAAGCCGGGGACCCTGGGTCCACCGGCCCACACCCCCGGATGCTCCGTAGGCTCATTTCCATAGAAGAAGACGCCCTCCCCCAGCTCCTGGAGAGGGGCTTTGAGCAGCGGCTGAGCAAATGCACAGAAGAGAACGGTGTGTCCCCCCAGGGGCTGGATGGCCCACCAGGGCAAGCCCCAACTGCAGAGCCCACACCCACGTGCCCCCGAGGGCAGCCTGTTGGAAAGGAAGCCTGGTCAAAGGTAAGGACTCGTCCCACCCAATCCGGCTGCTAGGTGGCGCTCGTCCACTTGCCTCCTGCCTTTGAGGCCCCCCAGGAGGGGGCCCCCAAGGTGGCGTGGCTGCCAGGGCCAGCTGGTCTTGCAACTCACAAAACTGGTGAGCTGGCTTTCCTCCCCCGCTTAACTCAGTGTCACTAGAGCAACTCGGGGATTCTGGTCAGTTCTGCTTGTCCACCTCTGTGGTTTGCCCCACTTCGGAGCCAGAACCCAAAGCATGGGATGCCCACTTCTGACAGACCCTGGCTCTCAGCCTCCAACAACACATGGTCTCGACTTTCATGTTACCGTCAGCAGATGGGCATGAGCGGGTGGTGGCAGAGGGACTTTCCTGACAACCCAGATGGGGAGGAGGAGGGGACAAACGGGCCCATCTACCTACTGAGAAGATGGGATTTTTACTGGCTACCAAGGGTCTGAGGGATCTTGTGCTCACCCAGAATGAAGCTCGTCACTTGATTGCGCAAGTGCAGACATCTGCCAGATCCTGGGAAAACTCCACCCACTTTCGAGAAAGGAAGAGACACAGAAAGGGGAAACAAGAGAATTAGCAGCCAGGGTTGGAGCCCTAGTACAGCGGGTAGGGCGTTTGTCTTGCACGCGGCAGACCCACGTTCGATCCCCGGCATCCCATAGGGTCTCCTGAGCACTGCCAGGAGTAATTCCTGAGTGCAGAGTCAGAGGTAACGCCTGAGCACCACTGGGTATGACCCAAAAAGGAAAAAGAAAGAAAAAAAAAGAAGCAGCTCACGCCACAACAAAAGGAGACTCGGGAATGGGAGAGATGATGAGTGGATGATAGCACTTACCTTGCATGCTGCCAGCCCCAGTTTAATCCCTGGAACCACACAGGTCCTCCAAGGCGGGGTGTCCCGTGCAAAGGCCCTGGGGCACACAATTGTGCAGCCTTCCCAGAAAGGTCGTTTGTTAATATGAATCAAGAGTTGGGCCAAAGAGTGAACAGGGTTAAGGTATGTGCTAACTCTGGCTCGATCCCCAATTCCATATTGGCACCACCTGAGAACCGCCAGGTGTGATTCTGGGGTGACCCAGGTAATCTCTGGCACTGCAGGGCCTTAAGCAACCATTGCAGCCTAGGATTTTGTATTGAACCTCTTACCTGTTGAGGTTGAGAATGCCCACGTGGGGTGAGGCATGGACCTCCTGGGCACTGTCTGGGGGCCAAAAAAGTAAAATAAATAAAAAATCCAAACAGCAGCAACAAAATCAACAAGAATAAATTCCAGCCCTCCTTTACCCAACAGACAACAAAACACCCCACTTTGCCTCCATGCCTTACTCCATAGGAAGTCTGCCTCTTGCCTCCTCTACGTGTGTGTGTGTGTGTGTGTGTGTGTGTGTGTGTGTGTGTGTTATAACTGAAGTTTGCTTAGCCAAACACACCGAGACAGAGGTTTGGTGAGAAAACAAGGTCTTTATTTACACAGGCAGGCCAGGCTGGGACAAAGATGAACTTTAAGTCTGCTTTATGAAGAAGGAAGTAACCCCATCCAGGCCAAGATTTAACTCAAGAATGTGTACTACATAATAGCAAATAGTTATAATAGTAGGAATGTGAGAATAATAATTAAATCTAATGCTGCATTGCTGCTAAAAAAAAAACTCCCCAAAATTTGGGCAAGCCAGAAAAATAATGCCAGTGAAATATCTCTCACTAAAATGTACATTCAGGGGCTCGAGCGATAGCACAGTGGTTTTGCCTAGCACGCAGCCAACCCAGGTTCGATTCCCAGCATCCCATATGGTCCCCTGTTTAGCATTGTATGGACACAGTAAGAAATACTTTGAGCTTATAGAATTGCTCTCCTAGGGCCATCTCGATCTCAGACTGCAGTGCTCAGGCCAGATATCTTTCCTATTCCTAGCAGCAGGGTCCTAGTCTCGTCGTTACTTTTAGATCATGACAGCATTTGCCTATGATCAACCTCTTAACTTATAGTTAAGAATCTTGGCACCTTGGCCTGGCCCATCTCGATGCCAGGGTAGCTCATAACTTACCGACTTGCCCTGGTTCCATCCAGTCCCACGTCGGGACCCTGCCCTTGGGGTGCTAGGAAGTGAGGGCAACTGAGGCTTAAGTTGAGAAGGCAGATGCCCTGGAGTGAATAATATTCAGAGCCAATCAAAGCCTAAGTTATAAAGCATATTAATTAATTGTCTTCCTGTATCTATACAAAAAGGACATTGCATTAAAGTAAACTATTCAAAAGACATGAGGAGAGGAGAAAGGCAATATTAACTTACAGTACAGCTTCAGTGTCTAAGAAGGATGAGACCTTACAAATTGGTTGGGGAAGAGAGCATAGAAGTGGTTACAGACAGACAAAGTAATGGGAGTGACTTCGGGAGCACTGTGATAGGTGCAACCTGATAAACCTAAGATCCGTGTACTCCAACACCCCTGAGCACTGCCAGGAGTAATTCCTGAGTGCAGAGCCATGAGTAACCCTTGTGCCATGCCGGGTTTGACCCAAAAAGCAAACAAAACCAAAAAAAAAACATAAAAAACAAAATAAAACATACATTCAGTTATACATATGGAAAAAGGGGTGGGGGGGGGTATATGGAAGAAAAAGACTCACCCCGTGACTAGTGAGTGACCTTTTCAGGGCAGTAGGATAGATTGTATTTCTCTGCATTTCTCTATTTCCTCATTTGGGGGCAGGGGGCACACCGTACAGTTCTCAGGGCTTACTCCTGACTGTGCTCAGGGATCCCTCTTGGCAGTGCGTGGGGACCAAATACAGTGTCTGGGGACAAGCCAGGCTCTGCTAGGTGCACAGCAAGTGCCACAAACCCTGTACTATCTCTCTGGTCCATATTTCCTCATTTGAAAAATTGGCGTAGATTATTTGTGTATTTTTCAAAACTCATTTAAAACCAAGGGTAGTAGGAAGGAGGAGGAGAACCAATCTGCTGACCTGCCAGCAGGGGGCGACCCATCCACTTCCCCCTCTCCCGCACCCCTGCCCCGCTGTTGGCTGTGGTGGGTTGTCCCCCAGTTTAAGTGTAAGCACTTGAGGAAGAGTTCCTGATCCATTTCTCTCCGTGTGTGTGTGTGTGTGTGTGTGTGTGTGTGTGTGTGTGTGTGTATGGGGGTGGGAGGGAATCAACAAAACTCCAGCAACCAATTAAAATAGACTTGGCCAAGAGCAAGAGGGGATCGAAGCAGAGCTACCCCTCAATCAGAACCCCCTCAACCCCCACTGGGCTTCCGTTCCCCACCCCACCCCCACCCTTGCAAACCCAATCCCCATTCCCCATGCCCGAGAATGCAGAAATGCAGATTTCCCTCACCCCACCCCAGCTGATGGTCTGAAAAATAACTGCTACTCCCAGCCCAGGGTTTAAGGGTCGTTCCTGGTGGGGCTTTGGGGGAGCTTGTGGTTCCAGGGATTAAACATGGCAAAGCCGCTGTTCCAGCCCTCTAAACACAATCCCTGGCCTGGAGACACAGAGATTTGCTCATTGAAGTGCGACCTCAAAATGACAACTGCAGTGGCTGGAGAGATAGTACAGCGGGGAGGGCGCTTGTCTTGCACGCGGCTGACCTGGGTTCGATTCCCAGCATCCCATATGGTCCCCTGAGCACTGAGTGCAGAGCCAGGAGGAAGCCCTGTGCATCGCCAGGTGTGACCAAAAAAAGCAAAAAAAAAAAAAAATCCAACAACAGCAAAAAAATATATTAAATAACGGCTGTAGGTGTGATGCTGGAAGGAGGGACGGGTGGGGGGGGGGAGATGGAGCTTTAGAGTGTGGGTGTTTGGGTTTCTTTTCTCCTTAAGTTTCCTTTCAGTTCCTGTAATTGACCTTGAATTCTCTCCCGACTTCTGCACAGAATTGATTTATCCCCCCGAAGACTGTTAATGGCTTTTCTGGAGACTTGGGTGCTGCTGATGGAGTTTCCGCCACTCCATTATAGTATTTGCTCAACAAGACGAGCTAATTCCGCCAAATCCTCTTTTAAATAGGCTCTCAAGAGCCTCTTCCTCCTCCTCCGGGCTGGAGCGATAGCACAGCGGGGAGGGCGTTTGCCTTGCACACAGCCGAGCCGGGTTCGATTCCCAGCATCCCCCCCTGAGCACCGCCAGGAGTAATTCCTGAGTGCATGAGCCAGGAGGAACCCCTGAGCATCGCTGGGTGTGACCCAAAAAGCAAAAGCAAAACAAAGAGCAGCCCCCTTGGGGCAGGCCAGCTAGGTGGGGCCTGAAGGCAGGATTTGGGGGGAGCTAGCACTGCTCTGGAGGGAGTGGCCATCCTCACACGCCCTGTGTCCTGGAACACTGTCCCCTGGGTGGAGGAGAAGCCGAGGGTCCCAGTGGCTCTGGACAGCTCTGCCCGGAGTTCCCACCTGCTGGGTGACAATGGACAGGAAACTGTCCAGTGATCTCCATTGGGTCCAGGTTTCCGTTACTGACAGGGTTGCTGGCCTATGAACTCCAGTCCCCCTTTCCAAGAAGACACCCCATTTTGCTTCCCTGCCCTGCTCCGTAGGACCTCTGCCTCCTGCCTTGCTTTTTGTCGGAAGTTTTGGGGAATGCGTAATAACTGAGTTTCACTCAACCAAACGCATGGAGACAGAGGTTTGGTGGGGAAACAGGGTCTTTATTTACCCTGGCCAGACCGGGAGAAGCACCAAAGACTCTTGCCTGGGGATGGGGTTCCAAGAGCACTTCCACAGAGAGTCTGCGAGCACGTGGTTTCTTTTTTTTTTTCTCTCAATTTTTTTTTATTTGACAAAGTAGCTCACACTATTTGATGACACGTAATATTCAAACACCAATCCCACCACCGTTACACCTTTCCACCGCCATATTTCGGATGTTGCCATCCGTCCCTCTGGCAGAGCCTGGCAAGCTCCCCTTGACGTTTTCGATATGCCAAAAACAGTAACAGCAAAGCCTCACAATGGAGGCGTTACTGGTGCCCGCCAAGCAAATGGATGAGCAGCGGGAGGATAGTGCTACAGTGCTACATTGTTTGTTATGAAAAACCACTGAAAGTGCTACAAAAAAAAGTATCCTTAGAGGAAAGAGTGTGAAGATTGTTGTATTTCACATAGGGGCCATTAATTAATGCTCTTCTCTAAGAGATCACTAACATGTTGTTAAAGATTGAGCTTTGTGTGCTTTTATATATATATATATATATATTTGTAAAAAAATATTTCCCTTTATGATTGGTTGCCTGCTGTTTTGAACCCCATCAAATGTGGTGCAGTTACTCTTGGAGTATCGGAGGTATGAGATATCCAGGAATAGGTTCACTTACGGGTGAGGCTCGGCCTGAGTGTGTGGAGAGTGGCCATGAGCACGGTTGAGTTCAGGAGGTTTTCAGCTGTAGGGGCTGGCTACCTTGGGGCAGGGAGGTTTCTCACCCATCCCCTCTGGGGCGGCCCAAGTGAAACAGCCTGGCGCGGGGTCCAGCAGCATGGTTATGGCAAGTGTCGTGTTATGCTCCCTTCCAGGAAAGAAAGGCAGTGATTTCTTATCTCACAGAGACAGACCCGCAGAAATGGCTTTGGGGGTTACATCGTGGCACCAAGTCCAGGACTGATGCCAGGATTACGGGACATCGTGAGATAAGGACTCAGAGTCGTGGTTGCATGGAAGGAAGTGGGGCGGGCTTTGTTCCCCTGAAACCAGGGCATCTGTGGCTTTGCAGTTACCTGCCTGCGCAGGTTATGAATCACACATTGCAATCGGGCTTCTGCCTCGGTGCTGTGGACCCCAACAATCACTCTGGTGGTCTCTGCCCACCAGGGCTGCTCGCGCAATAGGCTCTGCAGTGTGTGGGACGAGCAGGGCCACCCTGGGATGCTTGCGGGCCCTCAGCCCTGTACCCAAACTCCCAGGGGCCATGGAGAATCCCGCGTGAATGAACTGTGCACGTTCATGTGTAATAACTGAGGTTCACTTAACCAAGCCGGGTGCACGTGCTAACCCTGTGTTTCTAGGGGTCCCCAGATCCTCCTCCGGCCTCAGAGCCTTGTGCGGTGACTGTGCAATGCCCACCTTTTTGTCCCAGCTTCTGCCCTCCACGGGGCCTGCAACCATAGTGGGCAGAGTGACCTTCTCTGCCGATGCCGGAGAAGCCACTACACAGAGCTCAAAGCGTCTGTGTGCTCAGCCTGGGGGTCCCCATTCCCCCCCACATAACATTACAGCCCCCACGGGAAGACTGCAGTTCCCGTTCTCAGGACGCGTTTGAGGGCGGGCTGTGGGGGGCACAGGGGCCCTGCCACGGGGACCCACCACCTGTCATCCACAGCAGGAAGACGCCCCCTCCTCCCCAGACCGCCTCTTCAAGATTGTGTTTGTGGGCAACTCGTCCGTGGGGAAGACGTCCTTCCTGCGGAGGTTCTGCGAGGACCGCTTCTCCCCGGGCATGGCGGCCACTGTGGGTGAGTCTCCCTGCGCAGATGCTGGTCCTGGCCCCTCTAGGCAGTGGGGGACGGGACTGGGGGGCGTCCAGTGGGAGGGGCGAGGGGCCTGCCTGGTAAGGGCTGGCATGGGCTGGTTCCCTGGGTCTGCTGAGAGGGGCCTGGCGGTGACCGCCTCTTGCAAGACGCTGGCTGCTAAGTTCTTCCTGCAGAGCGGGTCCCTGAGTGACCCTGTGTCCAGCACCAAGAGGATCCTACAGGCCCGATCTGTGCGGAGCCTGTCTTTCGGGACCCCCCAATCCTCATGTGCCTCAGGACTCGACCAGGAGGCCTGAAAGCCCCACAACCCCCACCTGCCCCCCCAGCCAGCCTCTTGCTCGGTGTGTGTGTGTGTGTGTGTGTGTGTGTGTGTGTGTGTGTGTGCTGTGTGCACATGTGTGTGGTGTATGTGATGTGTGTATGTCTATGTGTGTACGTCTGTGTGTGTGCTATGTGTGCTGTATGCTGTGTGTACATGCATGTGTTGTGTGCTGTGTGTGCAGTGTGTGTGTGCTCTGTGTACGCGTGTGCTGGGTACGTGCAGTGCATGTGCTGTGTGTGTGCTGTGCGCACATATGGGCGGTTCATGTTTGTGGTGTGTGCGTGTATGTACATATAAGTGCATGCATATGTATGTGGAGCAGTGCTGTATGTGTGAGGCTGTACATGTGTGTGCCGTGTATGTGCTTATGTGTGTGTGCGTGTAATGTGTGTGCATGTGAATGGCGTGTGTAGTGTGCGAATGTGTGTGTGTGTGTGTGTGTGTGTGCATCTGTGTCCCTCATGCTCACCCCAGCAGGCCCAGAACCCCCTGAGCTGGGCTGGGGAATGTTCCAGCTCCGAGCCATTTGTCTGTCCCTGGGCAGATGTCACCCCAGCCCGGGAGCTGCTCCTTGAGCCATCCAAGCCGACGGTGCAGCCTGGGCTCTGGACAGGCACCTGGTGACAGCTGAGCCCCACCACAACACGGCACCCCCAGAGACTACCATGTCTTGACTGCCCAACAAACCCTGCTACGGGATGGTGGCCTGGAGCGCCCCTACCTCCCTCAGTTAGGACCCGCGACTCCATCTGGGCGGGTACACCCAGATGTGGGGGCCTTCTGGCAGGTCGGGGCCCACTCTGTGATGCGTGAATGGAAGCCCCCGGCTGGGGTCAGCCTCAGGGGCTCTCCTGCACAGGGCCTGACGCCCTTCCCCCGGCCCCCGAGGCTCACGTGGCCTCCACAGGCTGCACCCCAGGGGGCCTTCGCCAACATGCTCTGCCCTTGCCTGGCTGTGCCGAGGCTTCACCAGGCTGCCCCTCGCCACGGGGAGGGCCGAGTGCTTCTCCATGGCAACCGCTGCCTCCCTCTCCCACGGTCCTCCTGCTGGAAGTGACAGCTGCCAGCCCTCCCGTCCTCACGGCTCAGTCAGCCCTCCCGGAGCCCGTGGGCCCGCTCCTGCCGGCCCCAGCCCACCCATAGCCCTCTCCTGGCACCCACCATGCCACAGGGACTGATGGGGCTGCATGTGCGTGTGCATGTGTGCGCATGTGTATGCGTGTGCGTGTGTGTGTGTGTGTGTGTGTGCGCGCGTGTGTGCATGCTCATGGAATGCTCCGACTGAATGTGAGCCCCCAACACTCCTCGAGGGCCTGGCGAGGGTGGGACACAGTCTTGCACGTGGCTGGGCTCCATCCCGAGCCTTGCCAGCCAGGATCCCAGAGCACAGAGCCAGGAGCAACCCCTGAGCACCGCCACACGTGACACCCCCAAAACAATCCAGTGAAAGGTGATGAGATGAGTGGCCTCAGCACCAGAGTGCAGGGGGGTCTGAGAGGTGGGTTTCATCCCTCGGGGACTGTGATGCTGCTTGTGGCTACTTTATTTTATTTTATTTTATTTTGCTTTTTGGGTCACACCTGGTGATGCACAGGGGTTCCTCCTGGCTTTGCACTCAGGAATGACTCCTGGCAGTACTCGGGGGACCCTATGGGATGCTGGGAATCGAACCCGGGTCGGCGCGTGCAAGGCAAACGCCCTACTCGCTGTGCTATCACTCCAACCCCTGCTTGTGGCTTCTTCCGTTGGACCATGACACTGGGCTCCTCTCAGCCCACTCAGCTCCTGTGGACTGAGCCGCTTCTTGCCCCCTGCCCCCAGTCCCATTCTGAGAGCAGAGAGAGGAGGAGCCTGGATCTACCTCCCCCAGCGAACAGGAGCTGCCTGCCACTTGCTGAGCTCCTGGCTAGACGAATTCCGTGTCTTGCTGCTCTGGGCTGAATCCTGGCGGGACCCCCTGGCCTGAGCGGCCCCCTTCCCTCCAGTCACAGGCCTCTTACCAGGGAGGGCCTCACCCCATCCTCAGTCCCTGTCGGCTGCTTTCCCGTCAGCCCCCAAGTGTGCTGCCCTGGGTGGGCTCTTAGGAACAACGCAGCCCCCCAGCTCCCAGGGGAACCTGGCTGGATCCCCTAAGTCAGAATCTGCCCTTGTGCTCAACCACAGGGAACCCCCATTTTCCAGGGAGTCCTTCGTCCTGGGCTGTTCCAGATAACACGAAGGTGCCAGCTGTCCCTGGGCCCGGGGAACTAGTTTAAAAAAAAAAAAAGTGACTCAGAGCTGAGTCTCCCAGTGGCCGAGGCTCAGGCAAGCTCGTGGGGGCGGCCCAGCTTCTCCGGCTCTCTGTGGGTGAGGGCGCGTGCTCCTGCGCGTGCATGCGTGTGTGTGTGTGTGTGTGTGTGTGTGTGTGTGTGTGTGTGTGTGTGAGTGCCTGGGCGTCTGTGCCTGTTTGTGCGTGTCTGCATGTAGCGTGACGAGCATGGGTCTTCCTTGGGCACACCCGGTCTATGGAAACAGCAGGATGGCGCAGTGGGAGGGAGCACGGTACCCACAGTCAGCATGGGGGCTGCTCCTTCCGGCCCGCATCTGCCCGGTAGGAGCCCACGAAGGTCCCGTGGGTGGTGGCATTGCTGTGGGTCCCCACCTCTGCCCTTACCCATCAGCCTCTGCCTGGCTGTAGTCAGGGCTGGGGTCAGGGGCTTCCATTCATTGCCTCTTCCTTGTCTGTTTTGTCTTCTCTCTCTCTCTCTCTCTCTCTCTCTCCCTATCCCACTCCTCTCTTCCTCTCTTTCTCCCTCTCTTCCTCTCTCTCCCTCTCTATCCTCTCCTCTCTATCCTCCATCCTCTTTCTCTCTCTCTCTCTCTCTCTCTCTCTCTCTCTCTCTCTCTCTCTCTCTCTCTCTCTCTCTCTCTCTCTCCCCACTCTCCCTCAAGCTGCGGGTGCTGCTCCTCCCCAAGGCCTCCAGAGGGAAGGACGGCAGGGGCTCCACCTTTTGGACAGTAGGAGGGGACACCTCTGAGCCCCAGGTCTGGTGTTTAAGGTGAAAAGCCCTTTGGAACCTGCTTAGTGCTTGTGAGTGGTCCGGGTGTCGGGGGGGTAGTGCCTGTGGTCCAAGGGCCCGCGCTGGGTCTTTGGAGGTCACTGTGCTGACTGGATCCGTCCCTCGGGCGGGTGACCACAGAGGACTCAGTGACCAGGAGATGACGGGAAAGGGCCCAGTGGCTGGGTAAGGAGCTTTCTGTCCTCAGGGGCCACTGTCACCTTGGTTCCCTTCTCACCCCAGTTCTCTCCTTCCTTCCAGCCGCCAACCTCTCCTCCCCTGCTCCCCCTCCTCCCTGCTCCTCCTCCCTCCCTGCTCCCCCTCCTCCCTCCCTTGCTCCCCCTCCTCCCCCAGCTCCCTTTCCTGTTCCCTCTCCTCCCCCCCTTGCCCTCTCCAGCTCCCCCTCCTCCTCCTGCTCCTCCAGCTTACCTTTGTACTGAAGGATGGAAGTCTTAAAGTAGATTCCATCCCTCCAGGCATACTTGGATTTTATTAGATGAACTTTGAAGAAGGATTTTAGGAAGAAAAACAGAAAGGGTGTGCCTGAAAGACAGGAGAGGAGAGGCCTTCTCTCCCTCCCTCCGTCCCTCCCTCCCTCCCTCCTCCCCGAGGAGAGCATTCAGGATTGCCAGCCTTGGCTTGGCAGTGATTGGTTGGCTGCTTTCACCTCCGTGCTCTGTGCAACTCCCTAGAGAGGGACACGGACACCACAGCCTGGAGCTAGAGGGTGGGCGAGCCAAGGGGATCTGACCCAGATGGCACCCCACTCGGGACTCAGGCCCCACCCCGCGGCCCCTGGGCCCCTCGCCCCACTGGCCCTGCCCGACCCCAGCTGCCCCTGGAGAGTTTGGCCCCCCGCACCTGGCACCTGGCATGACCCAGACAGGTGGGGCTGCTCTTTTGCCTTTGGGAGTGACAGACTCCTCCCCCCACCCCACAGGCATCGATTACAGGGTGAAGACGGTGACTGTGGACAACTCACGGGTGGCCCTGCAGCTGTGGGATACAGCGGGGCAGGAGAGGTGAGGAGGTGGGGATGGGGCTGAGGAGGGAGGTGTGGGGGCTGAGGGGGTGTACTGTGGGCGTGGCCGTGAGCTTGGTTATGGGCGTGGCTATGGACGGTGCCTTGGGCCTGAATGTGGGCGTGGCTGTGGGCGTGGCCTTGAGCATGAATGTGGGCGTGGCTGTGGCCTTGGCATGACTGTGGGCGTGGTTGTGGGTGTGGCTGAGTGTTGCCCTGCACTTGCCTTGGGCATGGGCGTGGCCATGCGTGTGGGCGTGGTCTGAGTGTAGCTGTGGGCGTGGCTGTGAGTATGGGCGTGGCCGTGGGCATAGATAAGACCGTGGGCATGGGTGTGGCTGTAGGCGTGGCTGTGAGCGAGACTGTGGGTGTTTCCTTGGACTTTCCTGTGGTGTGGGCGTGGCCGTGGGCGTGCCCGTGGGCATGGCTGTGGGTGTTGTCTTGGACTTGCCTGTGGCGTGGGCGTGGCTGTGGGTGTGGCTGTGAGTGTGGGCGTGGCTTTACCTGTGGCATGGGCGTGGCTGTGAGTGTGGGCGTGGCTTTGCCGGTTTGCATGGGCGTGGCCATGGGCGTGTCCGTGGGCGTGTCCGTGTGCGTGGCTGGGAGTGTTGCCTTGGGCTTGCCTGTGGCGTGGGCGTGACTGTGGGCGTGGCCGTGGGCTTGGCTGTGGCCACGGGGGAAGGCCCGTTGCTGCCGCCTAGATCCCTGCATCCCATCCCCTGCCCTGGACCGCAGGTACCGATGCATCACGCAGCAGTTTTTCCGGAAGGCGGACGGCGTCATCGTCATGTACGACCTGACGGCGCGGCAGTCCTTCCTGTCCGTGCGGCAGTGGCTGAGCACCGTGGAG